ACCTCTGAGACTATCACAGTGCAGGTGCATTTATATGGAGACTTGATTCCACACAGGTGGATTCTATTTATCATCCTTTGTCATTTAGGTCAACATTGGATCATTCAGAGATCCTCACTGAACTTCTGGAGAGAGTTTGCTGCACTGAAAGTAAAGGGGCTGAATAATTTTGCACGCCCAATTTTTCAGTTTTTTATTTGTTAAAAAAGTTTGACATATCCAATAAATTTCGTTCCACTTCATGATTGTGTCCCACTTGTTGTTGATTCTTCACAAAAAATTACAGTTTTATATCTTTATGTTTGAAGCCTGAAATGTGGCAAAAGGTCGCAAAGTTCAAGGGGGCCGAATACTTTCGCAAGGCACTGTAAGTCTAAACCATGGCTTCTCCCCAACAGTTTTTGACCAATTAGATAGTAGCACCTTTTCATACAAATATTGTATACCGACAAGTTGAGGACAGTCTTTTCTGTTTATCCTAAACAGTGAAGATCCATGTGCACATGCTAATTTTGATATGTTAATGCATAAGTTTCACACTGTGAAATATCCTTTTATTAGTCTTCTCTTTTCAAAATAAAAGAACACGCACTCACACTACACACAGTAGGTTCTTGTCTGCAAAAACAGCTGGTCCTTGTCTTGGAGTGGTATGATTGGCCCATCCTATTCCCCCTTTGTTCTAACATGATCACAGGTATGCAACTGCATCTCCTGAAGAAAAGCACTATTGAGTTTGAGGCATGCAGATGCCTAAGAACCTTGTCTTCTTCACTGGGTGATTAATATTGTAGCTCGCAAAATGAACCAGGCATCCATTAACTTGTCCAAAAGACAGGCCTACATTAGCCATGGGGCTTCAGAAAAGATGGTGTAGGATATCTGGGGCTCCAAAACAACAAGAAAACACCAACTGCAACTTGGTCTTCTAACAATATATAATTTATCTTTTATTCAGACTGAGGTTCTGCATTTTGTCAGAGACCAGCTGTGCTTCTCTGGCCTCAGCTCTGGAGTCCAACCCCTCCCATCTGAGAGAGCTGGTCCTAAGTGGAAATGACCTGCAGGATCCAGATGTGAAGCAGCTGTGTGATCTAGTGGAAAGTCCAGACTGTCAACTGGAGACTCTGAGGTGAGTAGAGGGTTGCAGTCAGTCCCTGCTGCCTCAGCAGTATTGTACTAAACTCAGTCAGTCAGAGCAAAGAGCCAGTGTTTCCTGTAAACCTCCAACCTTCTCAGAAAAGCTGAGGGAGGAGAAGGGTGACAGGCTTCAGGACTGGACACAGTGATACAGAGAGAGATGAACATCAGCCAGTCAGGTCAGCCAGAAGCTTGTTGTGATCATGTGTTTGAGTTGATGTGAAGATGATTGTTGCTGATGAGGTGAGTTTCTGTAAACCCTGGTTTCTGATCTGTGCTGCCTTGTCTTCTCTCAACAGGAAGTGATGGTCTTTAAAGGTAAAGGTGAGAGTCAGCAGGACAGTGTGCCTGTTGAGCTGTGCCCTGGAGATTCTGCTAGGAAAAGCTAAGTGCTCTGCCATCTGTAAAGGCAAATGAGACTCTGGCAGAAAAAGTGGAATAAGGAGCAAAAAATCATTAAATGTGAGCTCTGACAGAAAGGATGAAGTCACCAGACTGAGACTTGGTCATTATGATGTGGCAAGCTGTTTGAAAGTCTTGGGCAAACATCTAGATGGTTTGTCAGTATGGTGCAGCTCTACTTCCCAATCACCTGATTCCTGCTCAGTGACCTAGACTATGATCACACAAATTTTGAATTAAAATTACTGCACAGTTTCCAATAGATTTATATTTTCCTTCATGATACTATTAGTTCAAAACTAAATTTTTAAAAAACGTACACTGATATTATTTCAGTTTTGTGCAATCATGCTCAAGGTCACTGAACAGAAATCAGTTCAAAGTTGGAGCAAACCACTGAAGGAAATTTAAATTTTAATCATCTTTTTTTGGCCAAGTATGTTACACACAAGGAATTCGTTTCCAGTACAGGACCGAGACAGTCATCTGCGGTGCCAGCTCAACCGATGGCTCTAACCATCGGGGGCAACGGGGGGGTTCAGTGTCTTGCCCGAGGACACTTCGACATGTGCACTGCAGGCACTGAGATTCAAACCTTCAGCCATCTGGTTGGGAGACGACTGCTCTACCCACTGCACTGTCGCCTTCCCCAGACATTTGGGCCACGTTCACACTGCAGGCTGAAGTGGCTCAAATCCGATCTTTTTGCCCAAATGTGACCCATATCCGATTTCCTTATGACAGTGTGAACAGCACAAATCTGATTTTTTCAAATCCAGCCCAGGCCACTTTCATATGTGGTCCTAAATCGGATACATATCCGATGTTTTGCAATGGGACTTCAGTCTGAACGGCCATGTCACATTTCATGCGATTTTTATGTCATTGAAATACGACAGATGTCACAATTCTGCGCTGGAGGAGACGAGGCCATAAACAATATTTGTGCTCTCCTTCTTCTTGATATTCTTATTATTATTTCTTTATTTTGATTGCACATTAACTGGTACATCGCTACGCACATGCTATTACGAGCCACATCCATTTTTATTTTCGCAAACACAGTACGCTTCGTCTGACGTCACGTCCTCGCCTGCGCATGCGGGTCACCTCAGGGCCGTATACTGTTCACACATGAGACAAATAGCAGTCGCATTTAAATGACAGTGTGAACAACAGCGCAAAAAAAAAAATCGGATTTTGTCAAAAAAATCCGATCTGAGCATTAAGACCTGCAGTGTGAACATAGTCTTGGAGATGCTGGGGATTGAACCCAGGACCTCATACAATTACAACAAATGTTTATGGAAGTCCAAATATGAGGACATTCAGTTACAGTATACTATCATAAATACTATGGGGATGTTCCCCTTCATTTTGTCAGAAAACATACAGTAATATTAATTCAACCTTTGTGTGATCATAGTGTCACTCTGAGAGGAATCAGGTGAGAGGTGGAGCAAACCTCTGAAGAAAATCTTTTTACGGGAATCCAAATAGAAGGACATTGTCATTTATTGTATAATTAGTAGGGATTACCCTGTAATTTTCTTAAAATGTACAGTAACATCCACTGAGAGTTTGGACAAACCTCTAAAGCAAGCATGTATAATAGAATGTCTTCAGTTTTCATACTGCAGTAGTAAGTGAAGATATCGGTATAATCCCACTGGTATTCTTAGTTCATTGGTCTTTTCAAGAAGCCGAAATACACACACAGAAGGATGGAAAATGTTGGAAAAAATATTGGTAATATGTTTGCTAAGAGGCAGTAAACACCCAGAAACCTATAGTGAAATTATTTATACGTCTTGTACGTGTACTGAGTAAACAGTAGAAGTGGAATAGATAGTGTATGTTCCCCACAGAATACATGTATCAAGCTTACACCCTGCTGTTACATGCTGTTCTCATGAGCAGTCAGACTGCAGATTTGCAGAAATGTTTGCGATCACACCCCATTCTATGACACAGAACTTACCACGACTGTTAAGTCTGAATGTATAAATGACCCTCAGAGATACTGCCTCTCTGAACATTTTCTTCATGCAACCATGTCATGTGTATTAATGCTCCATTGCTGCAAGTAAAGTTTAACTTTTATATTATCTATATAAGTGGCCTTGATCTGCTTTGTCTATTATCAATTTAGCCCTAACAGCAAATAATAGAATGTGTTTAATATCTTCATTTTTAGAATTAATTGACATTCAATTGCCTAAATAGTCAGCCAGTCTTTAGACCATACTGTAACTGCCCAAAAAGAAGTGCAGGAAAATTTGAGTGGTGGCTCGCGTTACCGGGTTTTTGCACGTGCCAGCTCATTTTCCCACAGTGGAACACTCACCTATTCTCTGGCACATTAAATTGTGTATTAACTAAAGGACAAGGAAAACAATCCCTTTGTAGTCATTTTACTGTATGCTATATGAAGAAGCTTTGTTTTCATTGTAAAATTGTGACACATACAACGAAATTATGTTTGGAGCTGAGGGCCCTGGGCCGCTGCGTGCCACCATCACTGGCATTTTGGGGGTTTCAGTGTCTTGCCAAAGGACCCTTTGACATGTGGACTGCAGGCACTGAGATCTGAACCTTCAACTATCTGGTTGGGAGATGACTGCTCTACCCACCACACCACTATATGAACCAACCAGGCTCTTGTCACAGTTTAAATAACTGTTATGTGCCAGAGTTGGATAATATTTTATGCCCTCCTGGCTCAAACAGCAAAGCTGCTGCCTGGATGTTGTGTGCACTGATTTATTACATTTTACTTTAAAAGAATAAATTATTTATATTTTAAATATATTCCTTTTGACTCTGGCTCCAAAACCCAGGTGGATACACACCATCACATACCGCACAATTTAAATTAAGTGGGACTTGCTTTTCAAAAATCTACCGTTTAACCAACCAGGCTCTTGTCACAGTTTAAATAACTGTTATGTGCCAGAGTTGGATAATATTTTATGCCCTCCTGGCTCAAACAGCAAAGCTGCTGCCTGGATGTTGTGTGCACTGATTTATTACATTTTACTTTAAAAGAATAAATTATTTATATTTTAAATATATTCCTTTTGACTCTGGCTCCAAAACCCAGGTGGATACACACCATCACATACCGCACAATTTAAATTAAGTGGGACTTGCTTTTCAAAAATCTACCGTTTAAAATGTTTCAAATATAACTATGATATCAGAAGACACACCGACACGTTTTGCTCATTTGTTAACGCCATTGTACTGTATGTTTACTGTCATTTTAATGTCACTTAGTACACTTGATGTTACCTCTATCTTAAGGTAATGTTGGAGCTTATAACTCTTGAAACCTACTAAAAGACACCTGCATGATACAGAACAGCTAACTAACTGCTTATAATAATGTCAGTTTGACTAGTTTATGGCTGGTATTGAATCTGTCACATTGCTTTTATAACATTGTTCAGTTAATGCTTCTCAGTTCTGTAAAACAACTTCTTATTATTATGCCTGCAGATAGAAAAATGCGCTCTGCATAAAAGAGGACAGATGACCCTAACAAAGGGAAGTCGCAGCTGCACTTGTGGCTTTCACAATACCAAGGTAACTTCACTTACAGTAAATGGTCAAGCTGCACTTTTATATTAATGTGTTTTTATTCTGATAAATAAGAAAATATGTAAACATTTCTTCTATATTTTCAGGCATCCTTCATTCAATAAGGCAAAACCCAAGTATAGATATGTTATG